GGGGAAACCAATTCTAGTTATTATACTTCTGATAGCAAGACATCTGTCATGCTTTCAGTCACTCAGCTAACATCTACTAAGTGGCTACTAAGCACGGCTAGGGATTATAGGGTATCTACAGAGAAAGAATAAGAACCACCATTGACTGGATGCCTACTATGTGTCAGGGCTATGAATGAAAGCACAATGATCCCACAAAATGCATGTGGTTACTCCCAATTTATGGATGAGGCAACAATGGCTCCCAGAAAGTAACACATTTTAGGTTCAAATCCAGGTCCATCAATTATTAAGTCCACTAAGCTACAACCCTCCTATCAAGAAGCTTGCACACTACAAGGGGAGATAGGATATAGATGTAGATACAAATGTGTGCATCAGTAGTCTCTCTCGCTCTCTTTTTATTTTTTATTTTTTTGGTACCGGGGATCGTACTCAGTACCTTGGGCTTGCGAGGCAGGCATGGTGCCACTGAGCTAAATCTCCGGCGTGTATGCATCAATATAAATGTGTGTATTGAGGTTTGACAAACTACAGCCAGTGGGCCCAGTCCAGCCCATCACGTGGTTTTGGTTTTGAACTAAAATAGCTTTTATATTTTTAAATGGGAGGGGTCAAAAATAATATAACACTCGGTGCCATGTAAAAACTATATAAGTTCAAATTTTAGTGACTACAAATAAAATTTTATTGGAATACAGCTCTGCTCATTCATTTATCATCTAGTGCCACCTTCCTGGCTACCAGAGTGCTGTTGAATATTGGCGAATATTGTCTATTCTCCAAGATGAATATTCTTTAACAATAGGAGAGTGTTTTTAAATGCTTTGAGAGTTGAGAAGAGAAGAATCTAATATGTATTTGGTCCCCAGTGTGGGGAGCTAGAGGCAATATACAGGTGTGCTCTGTTTTAAGATTCAATGCCTGAAAACCTAGACTTTAAAACAGATCAATTAAAAGGTAGTTATTTGCATAACAAAATTTCCTTTTCATTTTATAAAGGGATTCACCACATGGTTCCTTTGTACAGTGAGCCTCCATAATACATGTTAATATGATTCCATTTACAAATACTCTATTCATAACAACTTTTCAAGAACATTCCTATTGTGTACAGTGGAGCTTAGCTATAACCATTTTTCCCTGGTAGCATAAGGGTTCCTACTTCTGAGAAGTAATTGAGCCAACTTTGTCAATTCCATGGGGAGAGGAAACACTCTCCTGATCATCTCCAAGAGTGGCTTTACCTGACTCACAGAAGAATGGTGGATTTCCCCAGGCACAGGGCACGTACCTATAGTCCCAGCCACTCAGGAGGCTGAGGCAAGAGGATCGCTTCAGCCCCCAAGTTTATCATTTGACTTTTTTTTTTTTGAGACCAGCATGGGCACCACAGCGAGACTCCAACTCAGAGGAAGATAGGTGGGGGGAATAAAGGAAAGAAGAAACAGAGCAAGAAGACTGTGAGTTCTAAGCATCTGAATTGTGTGACATTAAATACTTTCACATTTTTTGCTAAGTGCCTATCTGTGGCCAAAACCCTAAAATGTAGACTCTTCATCATTCACTTCATACACAAATAAACCAATAAAAATTACATTTGTGGCTAGTGTCCTGATAAATATGCAACCAGTAATACTTGTAAAATGCAATGTCTCTCTCTTTCTCTCTTTAAAATTGCAAGACATTATGTTATCTAAATTACGACCTAAACTGGGGCAAGTATTCAAATTAGAGTTGTCCCCGGCAAAATAGGAAGTGGTATCACTGATTCAGTTTTGGACCAGCTCCCTCTTTTGTTGGGTCCTGAGACAGAATCTTTGCCTAGCTTCGTGGTGTTATGCAATTGCTCTTTTTAAGATTCATAAAATGGAAACCTTGGCTATTCATAGTCAACTTAGGAGGAGCTGAAACTGTTCAAGAAGTTTCTTTCCCAGTACCATTTTGATGATAAGTAGGTTTCTGAACAAATCCACTTAATCTGGCGTCCAAATGGAGGTAATTTTAAAGAGCTGTCTCCTGCTTTTTGTTTTCATCCTCTGAGTGGACTGTAATTTAGAAATAGAAAAATATTCCTGGTGTATAGCCTGAATATTTTTCAGGGGTTTTTTATGGTAAAAGAAGCTTAAATGGAAATGGAAGGGCAGAGAAAATCATATCAGGACAGTCCTGTGTGACGTTACCCCGCGGTGAAGCAGGTCTGTGTTGTAGCGCTGCTAATGGACGATGTGTGAGAGAGTTGCAGAGGTGAGAAGTTGCAGGCTGGTGAGAAGCAGAGCTGTCCTTAGGGCCCCACAAATGGCATCGTCAGCCAAGTTGGGGGAGGGAGGCTGCTGGAGGTGGCTTGGCTGCCCCTGGAGGCTGCAGCTTCTCACACTGTGTGGCAGGTGGCTTTTCAGCCATTTCTAAAGCTGATCACAGGCAGGGAGAGCACATGGAATCCATCAGTGAGGCTTCTGGAAAAGGGTCTCTTTTCCTCTTCCCCAGAGGTCAGAAGACTAAAATTACAAACAGCAGTGAGAAGGCACTGTTGCATTCTTGAATTAAGGCTGTTGTTCTCTCTCTCTCTCTCTCTCTCTCTCTCTCTCTCTCTCTCTCTCAATTGTTGCTGCCTTGTTTTTCTCTCCATCATATATTTTCCCCCAGATATGATATGTAGTGGTGCCAGGTACAGCTTATACTACAAATTGATACATACAGAATAAACCATATTAGTTCCGTTTTCTTTTCCCTGGTGCATATTGAAAAATATGGACATAAATTTCCATGCCTTTCAATGATCAGACAGAAGACTAACCCCTGGGGGTGACATATTTGCCATTCTCTGCTACAGAGGGTGCATCAAGGGAGGAGTTTGTAAAGCCCTGGGATTCGAACAAAAACAGAGCCTACTCCAACCTACCTTGCACTTCTCCCTCCCACCAACCAGCAGCTGAACAGATTTCATTTCATAAATGGAAATGGGAGCAAATACATTTTTTGCAAAGTGATTTCATGAAGAGTAGGCTTGTTTAATTGGGTTTTTGGAGCCAGGATTAATATTACAAGCTGAGGAGCTCTGTGATATGCCTGTGCCCCTGGCTTTGCTGCACTGCCTGCCTCCTGGGGGAAGGAGGAAAGAAGTGTCACTATTTAGAAGTAATTTTATTTCTGTCTTGTTCTCATCCACGTGATCTACAGCCAGTCTGGACCAAGCGCCCAGACCTGAGCCAAGCTACGAGTAATATCAAAGAGTAATACCAAACTCAAGGTCACACCTAGAACATGCTTTGGATATTTCTTCTTTTTAAAATCTAATTTATGTGACTTTCTGATATGTTTAGCATTTGCCCTCCTCTTGTCTCTATTCTGCTTATTAAGGTAAATTTGCATGGAAATGGGATCATAGTTTTCAGGACCCTTCACCAGACACTTGATCTTTAGAGGTGACCAGTGTCTACTGTGGATACCATGAGGGTGACCCACAGAAGCCAGTCCCCTGCAAACCATGGCAAGGCCTTAATTAGGAAAAGCTTTGCATGTTAATGTCATAGAGTCAATCAAATTGGCAAAGGCATTTAGCACTAAGGAAGGAGGGCAGAATACTCCTTCCTGTTTAGTGGGTCAGCCAAGGTCACAAAACTGTTTATCTGTCTTAGATGGACCACTCTTGAAGAAAGTGTACCCAAAGTGATTTTGTGTTATTGCTGTTTGGAAATAAGTTTTGACTGGTAAAGAAAAAAAAAAAAGCTCAGAGAGTCAACTATGACATTTTACTTGATTCCTGAGGTATTTTTTGCTAATATCTACCTTCGGGTTGATAATATTCGTCACTCCAAATTACCCTTGGGAAACCAGGCAAAGGTGGAGCCCCTTGCTTTCACCCTGTCACAGTCTGCTTTAATCCTCTGAGCTCTTCCTGCTATGCTCTGCCGCCTGCTGTCACCTGCCTTATTTACCTAAATCTTGTCTACTGGGGCAGAAATTCCCACGGAGAGGACAACTGTGGCCCCAGTTTACTGATCACTGAAAGTCTACTGGGTTTGAGGGTTACTTGTTAACTCACCCAAAGTGGCTAAGACTTAGGGAAATTTTGAAAAACATAAATGCCAAACCTCGCCTTTCCAGTTTTTGCCCTGACAGTAAGCTGTCTTAGCAGAGAATCAAAGGATTTGATAGTTCTGGAGATTAAGTGTCACATTACAGTGAGAAAAGTTTATAGGCGATGAGAGACCTCAGAGGAAACTTGTGCTGTATCTGGCCTGGCTGCCTTGACTGGGGAAAGATTCATCCCATAATTTTTTTAAAACCATACATATTCCTTGTGTAATTATCTTGTGTAATACTTTGCATCTGTTATTTAATTTCAACCCACAACTTTATTCATTGAATACAATGATCTCCATTTTACAGATGAGGAAATTGAGGCTCCAGGAGGTTTAAGAGGTTGCCCAAGATTATACAGCTATTTACCAGCAAAATGAGGATTCTGCCCTGCTCTTTCTATGACATCTCCAGTCTCCTAAAAAACAACAACAAAAACTATTTTTCGTATTTGATGCAGTACATAGGCTGACTCATTGGTCTTTATACAGAGCCTGTGATTACTCAGAGGCGCCAGGGTTTTAACTCAGTTCAGGAACATTAAAATCAAAATTTCTGAAATGCATGTAGTTTATGCTGTAACGACATAACAAGTAATCTGACCAAGCTTGAAGTTTCCTAGCGCAAAGACCAAACTGCTTCCTACTCTGAAATGTGTGGAAGAAGAACTTCCAGTTCCCCACTGGCCAATGCTGTCTAATTCTCTTAAATGATTCAGATGTAAAAGAGAAAATGGCATCTGTCTAATTAACACCGCCTGGTTAAATATAGCTGCCAAGGGACAGCCTCGGGACAGTGTTTACAGAGCAGTCTTCCTAGCCCCTGGGGCCTCAAGTTGATAGCAAGCCTTCTGTCCTTATCAATTGGAAACAGAGATGCCCCAGCAGTGGTGACAGGCCAGACCAGGCCAAGTAGGATGAAAGGAGAGGGGAAAGGCTGCTGCTGGCCTGAATTTCCTGCTCCTGGCAGCTGGGGATTCAGAGAATGATCCCAGGAACCAAATCCCAAAGGGTCTCACAGCTCTAGCTGCAAACACAAGCCCTTGCCGGAAACCGAGTCTTGCTCTCTGGCCGGCAGGCATTCACTCCACCACTGCCCTACCAGCTGCTGAGACTGCCAGGCAGGGCCATCTGTTCCATGGCCCTTCTCCTAGCAAAATGGCACAATGACCGCATTATTTCTCTTCCAGCTTCACATCACAACATGGAAGCTGTCGCCAAGTTTGATTTCATGGCCTCTGGTGAGGATGAACTGAGCTTTCACACTGGAGATGTCCTAAAGGTAGGTGATGGGGGGGTGGGGGGCAGGGACTGGTCTGGCCACCAAGTCTTTGTACATGAAAAATTGCACACAGTTCCTTTTAGACAGAGAAACTCACCTTCACCCAACAGATTCTTCCCCTACTCACATGTGCCAAACACCAGGCCAAATGACAGAAATAAAGAATTGATCTAAATTGCTGACCTTGTCCTGAGATCCTCATGGTCTGGAGTGGGAATACACCCATCAGAAGGGCTGTCACAAGCTCTTGGCTCAGTGCTCAGTGAGGGGGGACAATTGATTCCACTTTGAAAGGTGAGGGTTGCAGGAATGCATGGGCAGAGTGAATGTTAAGAATGCAACAAGTAGGGCCGGGGATTTAGCTCTGTGGTTCTGTTACCTGCCCCACAAGTGCAAGGTCCCAGGTTCGATCCCCAGTACCAAAATAAATAAATAAATAAAAATAAAATAAATTTTAAAGAAAGAATGTAACAAGTCTTTTGGGCCTTTTGCTAAAGCTCAGAGATGTGAATGACCATGCTGAGTGCAACAAGCACCATCAGGTTCCTCATGGCTGGGACTTAGAAGAAGGCACAGCCAGGAAGAGGCAGCTGGACCAGATGTGGCTCAACAAAGGCCAGGGACACCTCACCACTCAAAGGCTCCTTAAAACTTGTCTGCAACCTGCACTTGAGTTCTAGTGGCCACTTGTGGAGCTGGAGTGGCCTTGGGCTTCTCCCACATTTCCAGGCATCATGCATAGAAGCCTTCTAAAGTCCACCCTTTTTTGGCAAAAGAATGCAAGCCCTTCCAGGGAGTATTTGGGAGTATGTGATGCCATCCTTCCCCTACCTGGCACCCTCAGAGCACCCTCAGGAAGCATGGTCCCTGTCCTTAGCAGCTCAGATGGGCCTTCTCAGATGCCCAGCCGCACCAAGGCCAACCTTGTCTTGCCAGGGAGAATCACATGCTATACAAAGAGCCTTAGAATGGGAAAGGATGACTTGGAAAGTGTCCTCAGAGCACAAGCCATAAAGAATGGCTTCATTTGGAATTTGAACACCCTTAATCCATAGGCTTCTAACTCCTCTCCACTCAGAAGATCTAGTGATAGGGTTGCAAAGAATAGCATTCAGTGTTGAAGATTTGCAAGCTCAAAATATTGCTAAAAGGGCTTTGACCTCTTTGGATCTTACCAAAGTCATCAAGGGACTTGCTGTGTGGTGACCATGTAATTATCAACCGTACAGGGGCATCTTCCATTCAGAAGAGGCCTGGGGCCAGCTCCTTCCCTCATCTTCCATCGAAAACAAAAGCTAATATCTTGATTGACTTGTCCTTATTTACCAGAAAAGGAAAAAGGAAAAAACAAAAATTCTGCTTCCCAATCCAGTCCTACTTTCTTTTGTCTGCTTTATTGCCAAAAATGGGACAAATTCTCAATACTGAACCACTTTTTTCCCGTTCTCCTCTGGAATCTACCTTTTACCTCCTAAAGCCCACTAGTGACTTCCTTCCTGTGAACTCCAGCGACCCTACTTATGGAATGTGACTCTGCTGACAGCCCCTCTCCTGGAGGCTCTCTCCCCTTGCTTGGGTGGCACCCTCCACTCTTGTGCCCTTTCTCTCTTCCTGAGCCCTCCTCCAGGTCTCACTTTTGAGTCCTTTCCCTTCTCTAGCCTGAGACACTAGCTTCCCTGAGGTTCTGCACTTAGCATTGTGATTGTTCTTTTCACTTTGAGCTACCCCATCCACTTCTCTGATTTCACCCTCACCTCTGTGCCAGCTGCCCTCACTCAAGTCCACACTCTCACTCTAGCTCTGGCTTCTCTTCTGAGTCCCAGACCCACATTTCCATTGTCTGCTGGATGTCACCACTAGACTCCACCCCCTGACCCACTGAAACCTTGATGTCCACTTCATCCCCCATTTCCGCACAAGCTACTCCCCTGTGTTGGTCAATTTTCCCATTACTGTGAAAAAGTACCCAAGAAAAACAACTTAGAGGTGAAAAGATTTATTTTGGCTCACAGTTTCAGAGGTTTCTCTCCATGGTTGGCTGGCTCCATTGTTTCTAGGCCTATGATGAGGCAGAACATGATAGCAGAGCAAAGCCATTCAACTTGTAGTGAACAAGAAGCAGAGAGAAACAGAGGAAGAGAGAGGAAGGGTTTAGGGACAACATATACCCTTCAAAAGCATGCCGCCACTAATCCACCTCTTCCAACTAGGCCTCACCTCCTAAAATGTTTAACACCTTTCAATCGCATCATCAGACCAAGGCTTTCATACATGAGCCTCCAGGGACATTCTAGACCCAACTATAACATCTCCTATCTATGTTCTAAGTGTTACCAGAGGTCAGTCACCAAGCTATCAGCCTCCATAGTTCTCTCTATCTCCCTTGCCAAACCAACTGGGTGATCAGGAATGAATATCTCGTGAGCTCCTGTTCAGGGCTGGCACCTGGCTAGCTGGTTTGTAGACATTATTTCATCAGCTCAGCAAATGCATGAGGTAGGGAGTTACTTTTTCCTCCATTTAACAAATGTAAAACTGAGGATGAGGGATTAAATCACATGCCCAAGGTCACATAAGTAGACTGTGTCTAAGCCAGTGTCTGGGTGGAGCTCTGTCTGAACACTATTTTCTGAACACTGTACCCTAACCACTATACTCTGCTCTGAATAGTTCTTTCCTGATATCTCTCAAGTCCCTTCTTCACTACAAAAACAATACAGTAAAAAGAAGCTCAGGCTTGGCAGCCAACTAGAAATGGTTTCAACTTCCAGTTTACTAGCTGTGTGACCCTGGGCCAAGTCGCCTGTCCCCTCTGAGCTTTAGTGTCTTCTTCTATTAGTGGAGAGAGTATCAATCCTGCAGGGTCCTGGCCCTAAACAGATGCTCAATAAATGGCCACTGTTTTATCAGTATATTCATTCCTGCTCCCTCGGCCTGCTCAAAATATTGCCAGAACCCCTTGGCAGACCTCATTGCCTCCTGTCTCTTCTTCCTTCAGTCATTCCACATATAGTCCCAGAAGGATTTTTCTAGAAGACAAATCAGATTATATCATTTCTTTACTCAAAAGCATTCAGTGGCTCTTCATTACCAATTGATTGAAATCTAAACCATCTGGCCCCAATGCCCTGTCCAATCTCATCATACTCACATGCATTTTTGTGTACACAATGGCCCCAGGTTCCCCTGCAACATACACACCATCCTATCCAGGCTCTCCCTAGACTATGAGTGTTCTTTTCCCGCACACACATATTTGATCACTTGTGCCAAGGAACCTTCATTGATCCTCCTCCTTCCTTACCACCAAGCAAAACAATTCCTCCCTCTTCAGCTCTTCCCCAGTATTTCACACACATATTTCATTTTGAGGCACTCATGATCTGGCCTCACCTGACAGTTATATACAGTCAGGCTGTGCCTCTATCATCCATCTTTCACTGTGACCTTACCCTGTGGGGTCCCAATTCTCTACTTCCACACTGGCTACCCTCTCACTTAAGCTCTGTCAAGGCAAGGGCTGGTTCTTCCTCAGTATCTCCAATAGCAGAAAGTCAGCCCTCCCCAGTGTTTGATGGAGGGTGAGTGGTGGCTTCCTTCACTGGTGAGCTCCCTGAGAGCAGAGCATGCCGGGTGCATCTTGTGTCTTCCCAGCATCTAACAAAGTCACAGCCCCAGATAGTTTACCCAGTGTATATTTTTTGAATTGCTAAATTGCATTTCTGCATGCTCATTTAGAATTATATCCTAAAGCCAACCCCCTTCCTCTTTTCAAATTCTGCCCATTACAGCTGCAGTGGTAAAGATAAAAATGCAGAGCATGTTACTGAGCTCCCAAAATGTCAAATGATGGCCATTAATGCCCATGTCATGGCTCCCTGGCTACAACTGCAATGTCAGCCCCTCCCATCCTGAGATGGAAAACACACAGGAACCTCACAGTCATTTTCAAGGCCATCTCTCAAATGCCCCAGCAATTCATTTTGGGGTGCCCTTTTCTCGCATTTGGCCTTTGGTGCTAAGAGGAAACAGAGATTTTCATTAGAAAAGTATAAAAAAGGGTCTGGCTAGCTCAGCAACAACCCACTTCTCCAGACTATATGTTTCTCAAGGTGTAATCCCTGGGCTTACTCATCTCTGTATTCGTGGCACTTGAGTACAAACTGCAGGTGTTTAGTGGATGCTGTTCTGCACAGAATGGTAAACAATATGGCGGACAAGGAAGCCCTGCCAAATGATTTCATCTCTCTTTTCCTGGGAGAAACATTTGGAAAGTCAGGAATCCAGCTTTTCATGTTCATATCACAAACCTCCATACCTGTAGCTACATATGGCACCAGACTTACATTGGCATCTGCCACTGAAATTTGCCAATCATTTAGAAAAATATCTCTTGACCCAGTCCATTTCTACCTGCTTCAGGAATGAGTCCAATTCAACTCCATTTCATTCTACTAAAACAGTGGTCCGAAAGCACTAAGAGTTAGTCCTATATAATTAACTTCCTCAATACTTCAGATGTCTGCTATGCCTGTAAGAGCTGTAATTCCACCCAATTTTAAATTTTTTTCCCAGCTGTACTTTTGGTCTTTCTCTTCCCACGTATAACTTATTCTCAGGACATGTTACCCAGAAAATTATTCTCCTAGGGAACATTTTAAGAAGTAAGATACAGCAATTTCAGTGTAAGACTTCATAGGTTTAAACTGAACTCCTTGCTTGGGTTTACATGATGGATAAAGAGATAGGGAGAACTGAATCGATGGAGAGATGAGAAGAACAGGAAGTCACAGGGCTCTGGGCATGCAACGGTAGTAGGAAACCACCCCCCTCCCACCACCCAAATACTTTTCTTTACAGAAAATGAGGTTTTTTTTTAAGACCTCGCCTTTTACAGACCACAAAAAGCCTGTAAATTCAGCTCTCTGGAAACAATCTCAGGCAGACCAAGCACCAGGTGGTGGAGACAAATGGCCAGCATTAGGGGATAATGTTTTTAAAGGAGGTGGTTAGGTGGGTCTGAGCCATGATTACTAAAATTACAGCTGGTTCAGGTCAGAGAACAAAGTACAAAGTATAGTTAGTACCATAATCAGCCAATTTCCAAATGGCACCTTTCACCTCACCTTTGGATTTGACATTTGCTACCCTGGCCAAACACCATGTTTGGGAGAAAGAGATTCCAAAGTTCTAAATCGAGGAGTGGTGGCACCGAGAGACATGTTCGCATGTTCCTTAACTGGATGTGAGGTGCTGCTGCTACATTTCCTGGTTCTTCCTTTGACCTAGATATTCTGCTTCTCCCATCGCCCCCTCAGCATAGACATACCCACGCGTCCTTAGTGAGACCAACAGTCACATTTGATGTAAAAAACTATAAAGTTTTCTGTTCTCAGCAATTCTTGAACTCAAATATGGGACACACTTTTATTTCTTCAGAGCAAATGAGCACATTCAAAACAAACGTACATAATGCTTTTTTACTGGTACCGGGGATCAAACTCAGGACCTGGCGCTTGCCAGGCAGGTGCGGTGCCACTGAGCTAAACCCCGGCTCAACATTATGCTTTAAAAACTTATAAAAACCTTTCCATGTGCTTCAGAGGAGTCCTCCCTCACAAAGATATCATATTTCACAGAATTATATATTTTTTAAAAGAATATATGCCTTCAAAAGGACTTTCAGGTACCAGTACTCATTTGACGCTCATGTCAGCTCTGCGAGTTGCTGGAGGTTATTATTTTTGCCATTTTTCAGATGGCTAATTCACTTGTTCAGTGTCACACAGTTAGTAACAGAGCTGAACTAGAAATGAAGTCTTCTCATTCCACACTCAACGCTGTCTGTTTTCTTCCACCTCAGGAGTGATGTTAGAAGCAGGTCATCATTGCTTCTCTCGTTGCTTGTCTTCATTTTACATGTAGCTCTCTGCAATTCTCTTCCCAGCTTTTTCTCCAGGAGGAAGAAACCCCTGGGCCCCACGACTCCAACTCTACCTCCTTTCGAATGACTCTAAACTCCCAGTCTCCAGCCCCATCTCTCTCCTGAGTTCGGCACACACATCATTGGGCTTCTCTTCTTAGTTGAATTCACTGGAGGACAATCTGAAGTCCATGAGTCCCTCCTGCCCCTCCTCCTCCTACTTTCTATTTCAGTAAAGCCGTCACCACCCACTCAGTCTCCCAAGCTAGAAATCCAGAGCCCTCCAGAATCTCCTTCTCCCTCAGCTCCCCAGAATGGTCACAAAAATCCTACCTGTTTTGTTCTTCGATTGCTCTAAAATATGTCCTTGTCTCTTCTCAGCCTCGGCCCATCATCTCTTGTCTGAGGGGCTATACTCATCTTCCTCTAGTTCCTCCCCTACCTTACCCCACCTCCAGCTCATCTACACTCTGGTACAGACCTCTTCCATAACTCTCATTCTTACTGCTGTATCCCTGCTTCAAATCTTTTCATGGCTCCTGCTAAATATCAGGAGAAAATCCAAACTCTTCAACATGAGTCCCAAGGCTCTGGGTGCTGCTAACTTCCGCTTTATCTACTCCTGGATTTATAATGTAAACTCCAGCCACACTGAGGCACAGTTCCCAGAAGGCACCACCTTTGCTCATGTCCTAGAAATGGTTCCTTTGCCATCTGCCTTCACCAAGTAACTCATTGCCTGTACAGATGACCTCTCTTCCAGGTAGTCTTTCCTGTCCATCCTCTGCTTTCTCCTCTATCTTAGTGCTTTGAGCCATTAAGGCTCCTCAGCTTCAAGAAGCAGAAGCTAAAAATGCTTAAACGATAAACAGTTATTATTTTTCAAAGTCCAGAAGTAGGAGGACTACTGCATGGCTCATTCAGTAGCTCATTGGCATCATCAAGGTTCATCTTCTGCTTTCTATCCTCATTAGAATTATTGTTCAGATCTATGCCACATACTTTAGAAACATTCTCAGTGGAGGTGGCAAATATTTTTCTTTTAACGGTGAATCTTGTTTTCTGAAATAACTATCAGTTGCATAGAGCCAAGTCTGGTGAGTAATATGGGTAACAGAGGTAGGTGACAACTTGCAGGGTAACAGTCAGGATAGAACTATACAGTAACAAAACCAAACTTTTGGTTTTACTGGCTCTAAAAGCAAGTTTACAAAAGGCATCCCAAGTATCTTGAATCTTACCCCAACTATTTGTGAAACCCAGAGTGTGAACAAAAACAGTTACTATTTTCAAAGCTGGTCCACTTGGATGTCTAAATTTTAATCTTATGTGCTTGAAAAAAATCAAATCTCAGAAAGTTTCCTGGTTATGTGAAAGAGAAGAAAACACCATTCTTGCCTTCCCACCATCTTCCCATGAGAAATTGAAGGTGCCACTAAGATCTGGAACAAAGAAATTTGCCAATAGAAGGAGAAAAGGACTCAGGGAAGTCCCTGAATGCTGGTTCTGGAAGGCTGGCTATGGTGGGGTGACCTGAATGTGTGGCATTCCTCCCTCCCCCACTGAAGTAACTCCTGCAGCAGCTGTCATTAAATATGTCCCCCAAAAAGCTCCCTCTAAGTCCAAAAGGATGTTCTTTGCCCTAGACCCCCTCCCTCTTGCTTTTTTGGTGTCCTCCCTGCAGTATCTTTGTCTTTTGTTCTCTTCCGTAGATCTTAAGTAACCAAGAGGAGTGGTTCAAGGCAGAGCTTGGGAGCCAGGAAGGATATGTGCCCAAAAACTTTATAGACATCCAGTTTCCTGAGTAAGTATTTCCAGCCTGCTGAGATTGTGCTACCCACACATGCTCCCCTTACTTTTTTCAGTCGTCACTAAAATTATCCATGCATACCCAAGTTACTCTCAAAACCTGTGGTCTCTGGAGGTCTCCCTCCAGAGCCTTCAGAACCACACAGCGGAAGGCCAGGGGTGGGAAGAAGATTTACATTTCATTTCATTCCTTTTTGAAGTTTATACCATGTGCATGTATCACCTACTTTGAGTTTTTATAAAATAAGTTCATAAATTTATATAATGATTGTGATTGCAGAGTTTCAAAAAGTTCCAAAGGGGGCGCTGTTGGCCACCCCACTTCCAAAGCTGCTACTCAAGGCATTTCTCCATTACTACCCAGTCTTACCTTCCACCTTAGCCCAAGATGGGCTTATGGACACTCCCTCCTTTCTTAAAGCAGGCTCACCCCAGTGAGAGAAGTCAGTAGGGGGAGGGAGGAAATTCCCTCCAGAGAGAGGAAATGAAGCACTGAGATTGAGTTTCCTTTGTCTCAAGAATTGACCACAAGGGTTAGATAGAAATCTAATCTTGTCTCAGAGCCAGGGGCCAGCCCAAAGAGCAAAGGTTTTTTAGAAAACCGAAGTGGTATGATGACTCCACTGAGGTGCAGAGCACCACTGTCAGTCACCCAGCACTGAGCCAGAAGAATGACCACTGGTCTTGACTGGATGACCACTTCATTCATACGTTCCCTGTGCTTCCAGCCCCTCCTCCTGTCTCCCTTTCATCCCTCGGTCTTACTTCCACATACTCTGCACAATGGAGCCCACCCACCAGAAGCGACCTCCCTTCCTTCACCCAGCATCGCTTCACTCCCCCTGCAACTGTGCTCAGACACTCTGCCTTCCTGCAGCTGTCTGGAAAGAACTGTCACTGCTTCTAGCAGAAATTCTCTCCTCTCTCCCACATCCACTCTCCCTTTCTGCTGGATCTTTCCCATTAGCAAACACATATGCTGCAATCTTCCCATCTTACCAAAAAATCAACGGAGAAACTCTCAATTCCCCGTCCCTTCCAACTCCCACTTCATTTCTTCAAAAGATTTGTTAGTGTACAATATTTCCAGCTCCTCACCTCCTTTTCTCTCTGGAACCTCCAGGACTCCTTCCAAACCTCTATCAAGGTCACGGTGAACTACAAGTCTCAGTGGTCCATTCTTAGCCATCATCTCAGTACCACAGGACCTAGGGATCTCTCCTTTCCATTGGAGCCTGTTTGTCATCTGATCCTAGGGCCATTCTTTCTCCCGTACTGCCCTGTGGTCTTCCCACCTCACTGACTGCTCCTCCTTTTCTGGGTCCTCCTTACTTCCCCACCATCCTTTAGTTTTAGAATGTCCCCTCTCAGTGAGGTCTTTTTCATCATATATTTTAAAGGACTCCCCAAACCCCTGTGCCCTGTTTCTCCTCCTAGTTTTCATTTCTGCACTGTGCTTATCATCCTCTGGTATACCATGTATTTGATTATTCTGTTGTTTGTTATATATCTCCCTGCCCCCCTTGAATGTCAGTTCCCTAAGAGCGAGGTGACTTGTCTGTTCTGCCCACTGGTGCCCAGAAGAGGGTCTGGCACAATTGTACATGTTCAACAAAAGCTGCTAAATGAGTAATTTTGGAATGATATGGAATATTAAAACCCTGTCCACTAATCCATAGTTTGTGGACATTTTTGGAAGTCCTGAAAGAAACCACTTATCTAATTCCAGTTTAAGAACAAATATATTTTCTGAAGCCTCCTAATGCCTATTGTTACCTCTTGTAAAATGTTTTCTTTGAGCTCTGGCTGCCGTAATCCCAGCACTTAGGAGGCTGAGGCAGAAGGATTGCCAAGTTCAAGGCCAACTTGGGCTACATAGTGAGCTCCAGGCCTGCCTGCATTACATAATGAAACCCTGTTTTGAACAGAAAAAAAAAAAAAGACAGTGTATAAGCCTCCTGGTGGCAGCACTTAGTGCAGCCACCTTGAAGCAGTGTGCTACTGCCCTACCTTTGGCTGCAGAGTGACTGCAAACACTCATTTCGATTCTCTGTGGTTGAGAGAGGTTTCTGACCTCCTGCCCTGAGGCTGTGGCCACTCTTTACCTTGCCCCACATAAGTGTTTGACATTTTCACACCCACCATGCTGTGTGCAGCAACATTCCAGAGCCTTCCACCTGTAAGGCACTTCAGAAAATGCAGTCTCATGTTTCTTCGTTTCTGTGGTAAAGATGATTTTCCAGCTTGGATTTGTTATGGGTGGTGGCACTCAAAAGCACAAGGAATTGCCCACAAAGGAATCTGAAGGGGCTTGCTGTATAGATGCTGCCCATCAACTGCTCACAGTCTGACTTATATCCAAGCGTGCACATGGCACCCTAGGTGCCTTGAACCCTCTGCCCGGAACCCTGAGCAGGGCTCCCATGTACTCCATGAAGCCCAGTTAGCCCCTGGGCTGTAACTATCCTCCAATGCCCCCAGGGGGTCTCTGGGCCACTGACGTCTTGGCCTGGAGTAAGTGCCCCAGGTGCTACCCCACCGGCTGCCCTGGTGGTCCTGGTGCCCACGGTGACCCCTTCCTCCCTATGCATCATCTGTCCTGCAGTTCTTTGCTATCCCTCACACAGCTGTGCAGGCAGGCGGCTGCTTCCCGCAGTGAGTCACTCCCACATGGCCCCATTTTGGTGCAGTGGCACATTTCCATGATTCAAGTTTTCCAAGCTGGAGAGAGCATTCTCCTGGAGGGAAGGAACAAAGGAGGGCAAGTCAGGAGGAACATGTGCTCACTTTTCTTGAAAACTACTGGAGCTTTTGTTGGGTTTCAGAAAGCACCTGTATTCCTGACCCCCATCCCTTAGGTAGGTCTCTCTGCTCCCTCCTGAACAAGTCCCCAGCCTCCCTGTCTTTGTTCATCTCTTCTCATTTCTCCCTCATCATCACGCATCTTGTCACAATCCTCTTGTCCTATCTTCCCTGGTAGGTGGTTCCATGAAGGCCTCTCAAGACACCAGGCGGAGAACTTACTTATGGGCAAGGAGGTTGGTTTCTTCATCATTCGGGCAAGCCAGAGCTCCCCAGGAGACTTCTCCATCTCTGTCAGGTACTGGCCACTCCTGACACCGTCGTGATCCTTCCCAGCCTCTAATTGCCCAGGCTGCTGATGCCATGAGGTTACTTCTCCAAAATGACCCAGTGATCGAAAGCATGGTGGCTTAAGCAACCAAGCGCAATGATGTCTTATCAGCTGTGCCGCTGCCATTTCCTTCCTAGAATGTCCATCCATAACCCTTAGTATATTGGTTTGCATCCAAAACTACACCCATGTACGTTGGTCTGCCTCCCCCTCTCCCCCAGGTGCTTCCGGGAGGGCAGGATTTTTATCTACTTCATCTTTGTGCTCATCACAGAGCCTGCCACAAGACAGATGATCAAGGAGTATTTGTGGAAGGGAGGAGAGGAGGAGCAAAGAAAGAAGAGCTGCATTTGACCATATCCATCCGGGAGTTTAAATCTTAATCTTTTCTATTACTGATGTCTGGCTGCAGAAGGGTTAAAGAAAAGTAGAAATCCCAAGTCGCTGCTGTCAGATGTTTATGTAGTTGAACACAAAGCAAAGTGGCTTCAACACATTCTGGTGCAGTGAAACCGCGAACAACAGAGCACAGCAGAGCAGGGCCCAGGTGGGGGGACTGTAACTGCAAAATGTCGCTCCTGTGCAACCCAGGGGAGGAAGTGGCTCAGGAGGCATAGACATGACACAGACCCAAACTGAGCGGCCTGAGGTCTGAACACAGTGCATGTGGTCAAGCCTAAGAGGGATTGCAAGTCAGACTTGGTAACCACATACAAAAGGAAAAGAAATAATGCTGACTGCAGACCAGGAGAAGGCCTGACAACCTGTACAATTCACTGGCAAGAAATGCTGGTCTGGATTATTCAACAATATTAAAATGTGTGAAGCTTTACTGCTTCAAGTACAGAAATCCAACCTCAGGTAATAAACTGTAACTGCTTTCCTATTTAGAAACAATAGGGTCAGAGATTTAGCTCAGTGGTTCTGCCACTGAGAATGGACTCTTTTTTCTTTTTGGTATGGGGATGAAACTTGTAAGCACAAGGTCCTGAGTTCGATCTCCGGTACCAAAAATTTAAAAAGTATGCTTAATAACAAAAATACAACAGGTTCTTGAAAACTGCTCTACTGCCAAGTCTTTAGCATAGTACAGGACTCGAGTGTTGCCATGTTTCAAATAAATATTATCCAGGGCTGGGGATTTAGTTCAGTGGTTCTGGTGCCTACCTCACAAGCGCAGGGTCCAGAGTTCTATCCCCAGTACCAAAAAAAAAAACAAAAAAAAAAAACATTATCCAAAGGTCTCTGATGTCTTTGTCTTTAAGGCATTTGGATTTTTTTTTTTTTTTGGTAAATGTTGGCTCCGCTTTCCAAGAGAGATTTCAGCTCATCTGATTACCTTCTGCTGGTGTAAAAATCCCTCTCATGTAGCCAGTGTCTCAAGTGGTCCCTCCCACAAACCTCCTGCTACAGCTTGGCTAGACCAGCAATGATGGGCGAGTTATCCACATCTACATTTCCTGCCCAAAGAGAACTCCACCATCTCTGAGTACAAACAGCCCTGGAAGTAGGGATATTTGCTACTGTGTAACACAAAACTTGGATTTGCCTTTATCTGTAGACATGAGGATGATGTTCAACACTTCAAGGTCATGCGAGACAACAAGGGTAATTACTTCCTGTGGACTGAGAAGTTTCCATCCCTAAATAAGCTGGTGGACTACTACAGGACAAATTCCATCTCCAAACAGAAGCAGATCTTCCTGAGGGATAGAACCCGAGAAGATCAGGTATGAGTCTGGCCCAGCAATCAACCTTGATCTAGAGATTTCAAGCAGTGTGAGTTCCCACATTAGACACTAAGAAAATGCATTTGATGGGAAGGTCTGCTGAGTATTCTAAAAGGCCGGATAACTCTGAGGTCATGTCTCAGTTTCACTCCTAGCTTCACATTTCCTAGCTGTGTGACTTTGGAAGGTTCTCTGATCTTTAATTTCCTCATCTATAAAATTGGGATAAGAGTATATCCATCTCACAGGAAGTTATGAAGGTAAAAGAATATAATAATATACCCCCATCTTCTACATCATCTCTAATCACACTGCAAATATTCCATAATATTAGCTCTTATCGGGGTGTAATTATTTTGTTATTCTTAGACATTGCCACATCACAGTTTGCAGCCCCCAGCTCAGGAGCTGCCCAAGGATGGAATTGAAGGTAAAAACAGGGATATTAGAATCAGCCACGGGTTCAGGACTACAGCAGCAGGTGGAGCTTTGTGACAGCCTTGGGTTGGAGTCAGGGGGACATTGGAGGGGAAAACCAGTCCTAGAATTCTTGCTCTTGGAATTGTTGGTAATACAATATTATTCAATAGAAATGCATCCCAAAAAAGTTGGAAAAAAAAGAAATGCATTAGATTAAACCCTGATTCAATCAGTAACTACCGATGTTACTCACTCAAGTTAAGAAACCTTTCTGAGAATCAGTTTTCTCATCCGTAGAATAGAGAGAACAATAATACCTTCTTCACTGGGCTCTTTCGGGGATTAAATATAATATAGTCACACCCTGCCACAGCATCTGGTTCACAATAGGCAGCAAGGAAATGGTAATCTGCCTCCCATAGGTGAATAACCACACATGTGTGCACACATACAATATAAAAAACTATTTCTAAAAGAAAGACATGGTTATATGAGACAAGTATTATAGGAAGAAGCATTAACTAGAATAGTTGGCATCCTAGGAACAAATAACCTTATTTGAAGCACTTTGGGGAGAAAAAGAAAACCCTTCCTTCCAGGCCACCAGCTATTTTATTGGGGTTTTTTTGTTTGGTTTTTGTTTTTGTTTTTTTGGCATGGGGGATCAAACTCGGGACCTTGCGCTTGCAAGGTAGGCAACAGAACCACTGAGCTAAATCCCCAGCCCAACCAGCTGTTTTAAACACTGAGAAATTAGAATCAAAAGAGGAAAAGATGTTCCCACCAACTGCACACAGAAGTTCAGAAAGAAAAATAAAGCTAGAGAAGACTTTGTAAATTATTTTAACCAGGAAATGGACAGAAGTATTAACTTACTAGGATGTGCATTTAGAGATAAGAGAGGCAATAGAGAATTGCATTAAACTGGATTAAGTGAGTTAATATTTGTAATGTGCTGGCATGTACTAAGCCCAGGGCTTTCTGTAATTATTTGTTTAATAAAAATAACAATAAAGTATTTCTGATTTCTGAGTTGCTTCTTCGGGAAGTAGAAAGGCTTTGCTCCTTCCCGACATGCCCCAAGGCAGGCCTGGTTTCCATGGTGCTGCCAGGATGTTGCTGTCTTTATGTTGGGGTCTCTATCGCCAGGAAGTAAATGACAGCTCAAAATCATGCAGAGCTTATCTAGAGGGCAGGATGTCCAACAGTGTGGCAACATGATAAGGAGGGATGGTATTGTGTCAGTAAAATGGAATAGTCCAGCTTGATTACACAGAGAAAAAATAAAGCCACTAGAAATGGACTGAATGGGTACCACATGGAAAGAATGTGTGTCCACCAGAAACTGGAACTCCTAAAACGAGAGAAATCTGAGAATATAGAGGCCACTTTTGAAAATGTAGAGGTCTCAACCAGCTATTCTCTTTGAGCTGTCCCACCTCCATCAGTTGCTGTTGCTTGCAAAGCTGTTACTTGCAAAGGTAAATAGCAAAGTCTAGAAGCTGCCACAAGGGTGGGGCAGAGCCAAGAGATGTGGGAGGACCGTCATCTCTGTTCTCTCTCCCAGGGTCACCGGGGCAACAGCTTGGACCGGAGGCCCCAGGAGAGCCCACACCTCAGTGGGGCAGTGGGAGAAGAAATTCGGCCCTCGATGAACCGGAAGCTGTCAGATCACCCACCTCCCCCTCCCTCACAGAGCCACCAGCATCAGCAGCTACCCCAGCACTTCACTCCAGGGCCACAGCCACTACCACAGCAGCGGTACTTGCACCATCAGCATTTTAACCAGGTATCTGGAAAACATGAAGTGGTCCCTGATGAGGATCTGCCCTCCCCGACGCTCACGGGAGGGAAGCAAGATCTCAGGCTTTGCTGGGTCTCACTGGGTCTCAGAGTTCATGAAGGAGGTCCTGAGACCCCCGGTGGTCAAAATATGGAATGTGCTCTTGGCAAAGAAGTCTCTGTGAACTAAATGGGTCCCTGCCTAAATACACACGCACACACACACACACACACACACACACACACACACAGTCACCCTGAGGACTCAGTGAATAGTCGCTTCATTTTCCTATCAGCAGAATCCCATATCTGTTTATGCCCCTTAACCCATCTGGCTGTGGAGATCTACAAGGAGAGAAGAAAAAAAAGGATTAGCACCCCCAATGGAGGCTTGCTTATTTATTTATTTATCTCTCACTAGTTCCAGATGGAATTTCAGGCAACTTACTGAGATGGACAATACAGCTAGATATCATCATTCCTAAATTCCTTAGCAGGACACACAAAGTCTTTTGTGAGCTGCCCATATCTACTCCTCTGGCCTCATCTCCTGCCACCTGCCCGCCTCCACACACCTATATACACATTTCAGCAATACCACACCATCTTTAGTTACCCAGATGGCCCACTGCGCCTTTCTGCTTGTCTCTGTGGCTTTTTATAAGCTGTTTCCTCTGCCGGAAAGGTCCTTTCCTGGCCAGTCCTCCCCCTCACACACACTTTGTGTGTGTGGTGCTGGGATTGAATGGAGGGCTTTTGCACTGAGCTGCATCCCCAGCCTGTGTGTGTGTATATATATATATATATATATATTTATTTTTT